CGGTTTAGATACTCAAAAATTTATGTGTGTGTGTGTGTGTGTGTGTGTGTGTTACATTTACAATGATAGGGAGCCCTCAGGCATTTATCTATTCTACAGGGAACTCGGGTGGCCTAGTGGGTAGGGAGTGCCCCTGCCAACCACAACTAGCAGTTAGAATCCATCATCTGCCCCACAGAAGAAGGAGCACTCTCTTGCCATGAGAATTCCTGCCTTTGAGAATCCATTAGAGGGTCAGTTTCACAGCAGTGTGTGTGTGAGAGAAATGAGAAGCATCAACAAACCAAACTCATTGCCATGGAGTCAGAACCAACTTCTATCAGACCCTTTAAGGGGGCTTTGGAGGATGTAAACTGCACAAGAGGAGACTGCTCATCTTTCCCGAGTGGAACAGACGGTCTGTGCCAATCTCCAGGGCGACTCTGCCCTTGGTGCCCGTGCAGCTCTCTACAGACCGTAACACCTATCTCCCTTTTATGGAGCCTGCAGAATTAGAAGTGTTTGTACTAGACGGGATTACTACAGCTCCCTGCTGGTGTACATTTCATGCTGGACTGCTAACCAAAAGGTCAGTGGCTCAAGCCCACCACCCACTCTTCAGGAGAGCAATGGGTAGTCTCCTCTCCAAATTGTTTCCCGCCTGGGGGGCCTGGTGAAGGGTCAGCAGGAGTCACAACGTGACGTGAGGACAGTGGATGTGGGCTTTAAGAATCATTCTGGGCAGCTTAACTTTCTATATGAAAAGATCTAATTCTTTTGACACTTTATTAAAACAACTGATTATGCATTAAAACTGAGTTCTCTTTTCACAGATAGAATTTTCCTATTTTTTAACCCTTTGAACTTGCTATTAAATCTCTTTCCCCCCAGAATATTATCATAATAAAAAGTATTTCAGGGACGGAATGCTATTTTTCTATTGAAGTGATTTACTATAACTTGAGCATTCCCCACCCCTCCTTTGATGCTAAGGCTCCATGTGTCTAGAAAGTCTTCTGAATTACACATCCATTGCAATTATTATTATCATGGAGTTAATCAAAACAAGATAAATGTAATTACAAATGTGGAGAAATAATTATTAAACATTAAAAAATTAGAATGAAAATGTGCTTCTTAATGAGATGGAAGTGCCTGTTTTTTAATTTGTTTCACTGAATGGAAAAGGTGTTTACTATTAATATGAGACAGGATAGGATAAGATTCCTCCAGATGGAAGATCAGCAAAAGGCTGGCTTTACAAACGGAATTGTTGCTGTTGTTGTTGGGTGCCACCAGACTGAGTATGACTCACAGCGACCCTATGAACAATGGATCTGGCCCCGTCCTACCCTGTGCCATCTTCACACCTCCTGGCACACTAGAGCTCACTGTGCAGTCACCATGTCAGTCCACCTGGTTGAGGGTCATCCTCTTCTTTGCTGCCCCTCCACTTTTCCAAGTATCATGTCCTTCTCCAAGGTATAGCTGCACCTAGCAACATGAACCAAGTATGTGAGGCGAAGCCTCATCATCTTTGCCTCCAAAGTATCTGTGGCATCCTTGTCTCTGAAGCATCCTTTTCTGTACCCTCTCCAAGACATATTTATTTGTTCTCTTGGTTGTTCATGGGATGTTCATTGCTCTTCTCCAACACCAAAGCTCAATGGCATAAATTTTTCTTCTATCATACATATCCATTATCCAGATCTCAGATGAAAAGCAATTGCAAAAACCATGGCCTGAATCAGACCCACCTTAGTCCTCAAAGTGACACCATTACTCTCAATAATTTGGAGAGATCCCTAACTGCAGACTTTCCCAATGCACAACAACTCCTGATTTCCTGACTGCTGGTACCAAGGATGTTAACTGTGGATCCAGTAAGATGAAGTTTGTTGACAATTTCAATTTCTTCTCCACCCACCATAATGTTGCCTATTGGTATAAGAATCTTGGTTTTCTTGACATTGAGATGCAATCCATATTGAAGGCTACGTTCCTTGACCTTCTGCAAAGTGTTTCAAGTCCTCCTCACTTTCAGCAAGAAAGGTTGTGTCATCAGCATAACACAGGTTATTGATGAGTTTCCCTCTGATCCTAATTCTAGAACTGAATGACACTGAAAAATTTCAAGAAGTATCATAGGAGCAGGAGCCAATGGTAATGGAGGAAGTGGAAGCTGCATTGAAGGCATTAACAAAAAATCAGGCCCCAAGAATCAATGGGACACCAACTGATTTGTTTCAATTAATAAAATGCTCTACGGCACATAACAACAACAACAACAGTCGTCTACACCAAAAAATTTGGAGGACAGTTGTGTCCGGCCAATGGATTGGAACAGGTCCATAATTGTTCCTGTTCCCAGTGTGGAAACTGTTGAACAATATCATTAATATCACATCCAAGCAAAATATTGATGAAGATCATTCCAAAATAGCTGGAACAGTACATAGAGAGGGAACTGCCAGAAGTTCAAGCAGGATTTAGAAGAGGCCATGGCACCAGAGACATCATTCATTGCTGATGTTGGATGGATCCTGGCTGAAAGAAGAAGACTACCAGAAGAATGTCTATTTGTGCTTTATTGACTAAGCAAAGGCATTTGCATTTGACTGTGTGGATCATCAAGTTGTGTCTAACATTGAGAAGAACAGGAATCCCAGAGCACTTGATTGTGCTCATGCGAAATGTTTGTCTGGACCAAGAGGTTGCTGTGTGAACAGAGCCGGGAAAAAATGCATGTTTTAAAATTAAGAAAGGAGTGTGTCAGGGTTGTATTCTCTATCCATATCTATTCAATCTGTAAGCTGAGCAAATTATTTGAGAAGCTGGACTCACAAGAAGAGGAATGTAGGCTCACAACTGGAGAGAGACAGACTGAATTATGCACCCCCCCCCAATATGCACTCAACATCCTAACCTCTCAGCCTGTTGTTATAATGCCATTAGGGGATGTGCTGACTTTGTTATGCTAATGAGGTAGTATTAGAGGAGAGCATGTTTTGAGTCAACCTATTCTGAGATATAAAAGAGATTAAAGGGACAAGCAGAGGGGAGATGAGCTAAGACAAAGACATGGAGTTGTCAAGGACACACCCAGGCCACAGATGTTGAAAGGAGACAGGACCTTCCCCTAACATAAGCAAGGAGGGGCTTCCTTCCCCTAGAGCCAGCCCTCTCATTTTGGACCGCTGGTTTCCTAAAGGGAAATCTGGTGGTGCTGCCTACCCACCCAAAGGCAGAGACTCTCTGGTGCTTCAAATCCTCAAGCTGCTTAGGAAGAGAGAGGGGAAATTTCCTCTCATGAAATTTATAGACTCAGAAACTAAGGATGACAGAAGAAGAACAGATGCCTTTGAGTTGTGGTGCTGGAAAAGAGTCTTGAACAGACCATGGATGGCCAAGAAAACAAACAGGTCTGTCTTAGAAAGGGTGAAACCAAGTTTCTCCTTGGAGGCTAGGATTTTGAAGCTCTGTCTCACAGACTGTGGGCACATGGCTGGGAGGGACCAGTCCTTAGAGAAAGAATTTATGCTCAGAAGGGCGGAGGGACAGCCCAAGAGAGGAAGACCCTAGATGAAATGGATTGATACAGTGACTGGGGCAATGGGGGTTGGTGTGTCTGAATCAGTGAGACAGGGCTGCTGTACACGGTGTCGTTATGAGTCACAGGCAACTCGATAGCACATAGCAAACACAACTGTCTTTGTCTTTCATATTTTGCACATGTAGCTGCTGTTTGTTGAAATGTGTCAGAGACGATGAGGATGGCACAGGACAGGGCAGGGTTTGGACTGGCTGTTCACAGTGTTAAGTTATACTCGACTTGATGGCACCTAACAACAACAAGGAGGTTTGAATATGACAGCAATGAGATGATGACCTCTTAAACGTGAAGAAAATGAATTTGTTGAAGCCAACAACTATTCCCTTCTTTCTGTAAAAAAAAATTACATGGCTGCTGAATGAGCATTCAGGAAACTAGAGAACATTAACTCTTCTATAGTGCATGGTCCTTTTACAAGTGAGAACACTGAGCTGCTTGAACAGAAAGGAAGTGACGTGGAGCACGCTCCTCCATCCACCTGGAAATCCTCACTCACTAGGTCTGAGCCACTGTTCCTCCATCCACACCCTTCAGGCTGACTTGACCCGGAGGAGGCAGCTCGTTTCGTCTTACTTCAAGTGCTTTCCATCGAAGCCAGCACTGCATCAGTGTTCTGCGATCCATAGGGTGCCCTGGACACCTTGCTCCATGTCCAGAGAAAGTCTACCAAGTCCTTCCTAGTCTGTCTAGTCTGGAAGCTCCACTGAAACTGTCCACCTGGAGTGCCCTCTGGTGTTGGAAACACCAATGGCAAAGCTGCCAGCACCACAGCAGCCCAGTGGTCACGACAGTGCACCATGATGCAGCCGTTAGACACGAAGCTCCGGAGAGCTCATGCAGCACACGGAGACACTGAGTGTTCACGCAAGAAGCCACACCTCAGCCTTACCCTCACGCCCAGCTTCCGCCCATCCCAGCCCTTGTGCTTCTGCACATGTTACGTCTAACCCTAACTTAGTGCCCAGCACATGTTCAGACCATTCTTCTGACTCCATCTTTTCTGATCCCAACCATAAAATTCAATCAAGAAGCTTTTCTGTTGGCAACTCAGAACTCCCAAAGCCAGGATCTGCCAAGCTCTGTGGAAACATGTTTACTTGTTAGAGATGAATAACACTTGTGGGTGGGCCTGGTGCCACAAGGAAACAAAGCCACAATGGGAAAGCTGTTATCTGCATTTTTGTATAATAGGGGGGTTTGCCTTACTTTTACAAATATAATGATAAATTTGCTAGGTAAACTAAATCCCGTATCAGAATAGTAAATCACATTCTAATTGCACATTCAAATCCATATATTTAATCCTTAAAGCATCGGAAATTCAACCACCTTCTGCCATTCTAGTAGCAGCCAATGACTGTAAATTCATCTGTCCGAAACGGAAACATATTTTCAAGAAAACAATTACTTGTATTCACTGGTGTAGCTGGTGAGCTCCCTGTCCTCATGCATCCATTTGAACTCCAAGGGCCAGCTCCCTTCAGCAAGGCAGGTGAGGACCAGGCGGTTCCCTTCCAGGTGGATCTGGGGCAAGCCCGGCTCTGTCTTGAAGTAGGGTGCCACATCATCTGAAAATTCCAGAAAAGGAAACTCTGTGAAGCACAAGTCAAAATGACATTCATATAACTCATGAATTTACTATTTAAACAGACCTAATTTTTTTAAAAGTAAAACTGGTGACTAGTTGGCCTAATTAAGCAGCAAATAACCCTTGACACCTAGAAGCAAGCAATATCCTTCAAAAAGCTGCATGCAATGAGGTACTATCTCACTCCAGTGACAGCGGCAAAGTTTAACAGGACAGCAAGTAATAGATGTTGGAGAGGATGTGGCAAGAAAGGAACTCTTTTTAAAAAAAAACCACATTAATTTCAATGAAAATTTACAGAGACTTTGGATTTCCATTCATTCATTGTTGCACTTTTCTCCCCTCCCAACCCTCCCCCCTAGTCCACTACCCTCTTGGAAAAGTAAAAGAAAAATTCTTTCATTGTTTTACAAACCCTCCCCCAGGTCCACTCCACCATGTAGCCTTTGCTCTAGACTCCTGTCATGACAAAAATACCTAATCACATTTCCCTTTTAAACAGTTTTCTCCCTCATCTGTTTCAGTGTAGTATACAATATTAAACCCATCTTTCTCAGTCTCCCCCCAACCCCGAGGTCAGTCCTGTTTTACAACAGTGGCACCATGCAGTATTTGTCCTTTTGTGACTGAGTTACTTCACTCAGCATAATGTCCTCCAGGGTCACCCATTTTGAATAATATTGCATGAGTTCCTTGTTTTTCAATGCAGCCTATTATTCCATTGTGTGAATATACCACAGCTTCTCTGTCCATCTGTTGATGGGCACTTACATTGTTTCCAGCTCCTTGCTATTGTGAACAAAGCTGCAATAAATATGGATGTGCATATATCTGCTTGTATGTCAGTTATGGTCTCTTTGGGGTATATTCCCAGTAGTAGAATTGCTGGGTCAAATGGCACCTCTATTTGCAACTTCTGGAGAAAGCGTCATACCGCCTTCCACAGTGGTTGCACCGTTTTACACTCCCAACAACAGTTCCAGTTTCTCCACAACCTCGCCAGCATTTGTTGCTTACTATTTTGTTAAATTTTGCTATTCCTGACTGGGATGAGAGGATTCTGGATGGCAGTTTGGCACTTCCTCGAAAAGTTGAACGTAGAAATTCCCTATGACCCAGCTATTTCACTATTTGGAATATACCCTGAGAATATGAGAACTAAGGTACAAACTGAGATTTGTACACCAATGTTCTCAGAAGCATTATTCACCAATGCAAGAACATAGAAATAGCCCAGATGTCTAGGCACAATTTAATAGACTGAGGAAATTCTAGTACATTCACACAATGGAATAATACGCAGCATGCAGGAGCAATGATTTTGTAAATTATTACCTAACTTGCGAGGGACTGGAGAGTATTATGCTCAGTGAACTAACTCAGTTCCACAAGGATAAATAATGTATAAAACCATTATTGTAGAATGAGTATAAGGATCCAAGAGGGGTGGGAGAGGTTGGAAGTACACAGGGATGAGGATGTGCAGGCGGAGGGGGATGGGGGATTAATAATGAGGTTGTACAATTTGATGGAGCGGGGAGGGAATTTGAAAGAATTTGTTCTTAAAAATAATGTATTAAAACTTTGTAAACTAGTAGAAAATTTCAAAAAAAAAGGTGCACGCTAAGTGGCAGCACAGCTGACAGGTCTACAGAAGTGGTTCTACTTACCATTAATACTAATTTATCAAAGGGCTTTTATTTTAACTAGGCCATCTATTTTCAAAGTAACAACTGGGCTGTGGTGGGCTTCAGTATGCCATGGATTACCAGAAGCACAAACAAAATATGTCCTGGAGGCAATAAGCCTGATGGCACAGCCCACAAAACTGGTGCGCACTCTACCTCCCAGTTTGACAAGCGTGACTCATCAAAGGGCTTGAAAGTGGCCATCTTAGGTATAACTGCCGGGCTCTCGAGTCTGGAAGAAAGGACAAGGAAGAAAAGCAAAGATGTTTTGGAACAATTGGGCTTAGGAACCACTACCTCTGTGGCCGAGAGGCCTGAAGAACTAACTGGAGCCTGGTTACCAATGTGGGCCGCCGTCATGGGATCGCAGCCAAACTACAGTGGTCAGCTTTCCTGGTCAGACAGACAGGGGCAGCACCACAGGCTACAGCCAGGAGTCACCTTTTTGCCTGGAAACTGAAACCTGTGGCTCAACTTTCAGCCAGATAACTGACAGTCTAGAAGATGAACAGGAACCCCAGGGAGGGATACAGTTTTTACAACAGCCAACCAGAGGGGAATAAAAGGGCTTACAACAGCTGAAGGCATGAAGACATGAAGGGTAGGCGAAAAGGATTAACAGAAACAGAGGTGCAGCAGAGGCGAGGAGAGCTTAGTACGTTATGTGCCATGTAATAGTGCTGTGTTTTCTCTCTCTCTCCCCCTCTCTCTCATATAAAAGCATCACCAGAATGCTCCACAGAAGCGAGGATGGAGAAATGGTGTCACCAATACTACCGGTATGTTTTCAGAAGAGGCCTGTAACCGTGCTCAGTGAGTCACTTAAGAAGAGGAACTCGTCTGTGAGATGGCCCGCCCGTGGTGTAAGCATGCGAGGCTTAGGAGCCAGGCATGGAGCTGGCCATGAGTTGTTCTGTTGCCCAGGGTTACAGTGAGCCAGAGATGACTCAGTGGCACTAACAAAGATGCCCTTCAGATAGCATTTCATTATTTTGAAAAATGATCCGAATAAGTAAGATTAGCATGTATAAATGGAGGACATGACTGACCATTCAGCTTTCATTCTGCAAAATCTTGTGTTTTAGTGACTTCCAATGGTTACATACAACTGAGAACATTTGGTTTATTCATACAATGGAATGATATACAGCAACAGGAATGAATAAACTATTGTCAGAAAAAGTAGCAGAGGTGAATTTTAGGGCCCATGTGTTGAGTGAAAGAAGCCAAGAGAAAGAAAAGAATAAACTTATGTCTTATGCTTCCCTTCGAAGTGCCCAAGCAATCTATGATGCTACGTGGCAGGCTGGGAATGTGATGATGAAGGGGTATGGATGGGAGTTAGGTTGAGATGACTTCTTGTTGGGGCTACATAGGTACTTGTATTTTGTGAAAATTCACAGAACTGTTTACATAATTTGGACAGAATTTTGTACAAATCAAACACATTGCTGTGAAATCAATTTTAACTCATGGCGACCCCCCATTGGGTTTCCACAGCTGTAAACCCTCTACAGGACTGTCCATATGTGCCCCTAGAAGCAGTTGGTAGATTCCAACTGCCGGCCTTTCATTTAGCAGCCTCCACCACCAGGGCTCCTTATAAACATCCATCATTAATACACACACTCTCTCACATCACGTGGCTTCAAGCTCTGATGTCGTAACTAATTAGCTACATGACCCTGACAGGTGGGTTTCAGTTTCTTCTTTAGCAAAATTATCAAAATCGAGTAACTTCTTGTTTTCTAGGAAACCTTCTGTGGCCACTGGAATTGCCTGCTTCCTGTGTCGCTCTCTCCAGCCCCTGTTCTCACCAGCAATGCAGGACATTTCAGCAATGATGATGGCTTATTTCACAAGGCGTGGCTGTTCCTTGGAAAAGGACATCGTGGTTGCACAGATGGAGGGTTACAAAGGATAAGAAGACCCTCAATGAGACAGACTGACACCATGACATCGGCAATGAGGATCCAGTGTGTCGGAGATGATGAGGATGGCGCAGCAGTGTGGCTGCTCAGAGCGTTACTGTGAGTCAAACTCAACAGCACTAATAAGCCCTTTCTGTGCACCAACTGTCTCTTCTGTCCAGGATGCTGGGACGTGGCTCCTCGTGCCTGACTTCTCTCACCCTGTCTCTCTCCTTTCCTTTTTCTTGGCATTGAGGTTGAGAAACCCTAGTCCATGTGACCATACTATACAATCAGTTCTATGACTATACTTAACATTTCCTGGGCTTTTTCTCAGGTAAAAACCTTATCCTCACTCTTTAAGTTAAATAAAGGTCTTCTCCACCCAACACTCCCAAATAAGCCATTAAAAGCAAAACAATGACAAACCATGGAAGGCAAAGCAGAAGGACAGCGGCCATCTAGTGGAATTCAACTCACATGACCCCGCATGCCAGAGTGGAGCTGGGTGGCACGGGGCTGGCTGTGTTTGTTGGCAGTGGAGCCCAGGTCTGTCAGCCAAGCTGCCTGTAGGTGGGCGGGAACCCCCAATTTTTGGTTAGCATCCAGTTCCTTAGCTGTTTGTACCACCAGGGGACTCCAACAAATCATTATGTTTATTTCATGCCAGGTTTTATCAGATTTTGAAATGAAAGTTTATTGATCCCACCCCAATGCAGTCCCTATCTTAATCACTTCTTAATTTCTAGCAGCTAGACCAAAGTCAGGAAAAAAGGATATCGAGTAAGTATCATTGAATGAGCAATATAGAACAAAACCCAAATAACACTATTCACTAAACCCCAAGACTGACTGTTGCCGAGTCATTTCTAACTTGAGCGATCCTGGAAAGGAAAGGACTGTCTCCCAGGGCTCTCAATGCTTTGAGTCTCACTGGAACAGACTGCCGCATCCTTCAGAGGGGCTGGTGGATTTGAACTGCTGACATTTTGGTCAGCAAACCAATGCTTACCACTGAGGTATCAGTGTTCCTATATACACATTTTCTAGGATTTACTGGGCATTTACTATGTGAGTTAAACTGTTCAAAGCCATCAACTCACTTAATTCCAAACAAACCCTACTAAATACATGTTATTATTCTACCCACTCTACAGATAGGTGAAAAGGAAGCACAGAGAGTTTAAGCACTTGTTTGAGTGATTAAAAAACCAGACATATGGCTCCCAGGAGCTACAGTGATATGGTATGTTATATGGTGAACTGCTAAGCAAAAGGCTGATGGTTCAAATGCATCAGTCACTCTGAGGGAGAACAGCGAGGCGATCTCCTCCCTTAAAGATTTACAGCCTCAGGAACTGGGTGGACAGTCCCTGTGAATTGACACCAATGGCAGTGGACTGAGTTTGGAAACACATTAACAAGCTACCACTTATGGCTGTACATACATACATACAACTTATAGCCAGAAGTGTCACCATAATAAAGCATCAAAGATCTATAGGCTCACTTCATATGGGGGGGTGTGTTTTACTTCATTATTTTTGATACTTCATTGGTGGGACTGCTAAACTGGGTTGTTTCATTAAATTGTTGCATCTTTAATAAACATTAAGTAGCATATTAACAATGTTACTATTGTGATACAGCAGCACATTAACACTGTTTCTACTGAGATACAGTAGCACATTAAACTATGGCACATCCACACCTGTTCATTTCACTGACTATATATATAGGATTTAACTACATAGAGCTTATTCTTCTGTTACGTGGACTATTTCATCATAAAAAGACTACTAGTCTTTTATTAGCATTTTTCATTCAAGTAAATAATTTTTTAGTTGCATCTCAGTGTGTGAAGAGGCTGAAGAAAGGACATATAACGACTTGGTGAAAAGGGACACAGAAGAATCTGGGAGCCAAAGGATTAGCAGCTGTCACACATGCAGATCAGAGCATGTGCTAAGGCCCCTTGGTGACAGCCAGTATGATGCATGGCCTTGGGAAGTACACCAGCATCAGCAGATGACTAATCCACTGCTGCTGACTCTAACTGAACAGCAAACCTACAAGACAGAACTGCCCCTTATTGTTCCCAAGGCTGGAATCCTTACAGAAGCAGGTGGTTTCCTATCTGTCCCACAGAGAAGCAGGTGAGTTTGAAACACTAACCTTTTGATTAGCAGCTAACTGTCTTACCCGCTGTCATCAGGGCTCTCTGGGCAAGTGCAGAGATCTGGGTATAAGGATGGTTCCAGTTCAGAAAGGAGAATAAAGCCAGGCTGAACAGACACCAGGCTGCGCAAGATACTTGAGCATGCATCCTGCTCTGCATCGGCCCTGGAAAGTGGCCAATGGCTCCCCCTGCCCATTCAAAAGTGTTCTGGTTTGAACAATAAATTATAGGCTCACTCTATTTCTAGGACTTGATTAAAAGCTTTATCTTCTTTATTAGTGCCAGTGGTGTGTTAGTACTATTAGTTGCTATTTAAAAAGGACACAGGAGCTCTGGTGGCCAAATGGTTTGCAATTGGCTGCTAGCAGAAAGGTTAGCAGTTTGAAACCTTCAGCAGCTCTGTGAGAAAAGACCTGGAAACACGCTCCTATAAGAACTGGGATGTCGTTTAGTGATGTCAAGTTGGTTCCTAGACTATGTACAAGCGAACAAAACACTGCCCAGGTTTGCACCTCATTATGGTTGTTGCTGTGCTTTATTCTGATGTTTCAAGCCACTGAGTGATTCTACTTCACTGAGGGTCTGCATCTTACTCCCTGGCCCTCTAGCTCTTCCAATCAGGATGTCTTGGAAGTTCACTCTCTGGCAAACCACAGCATACTCAACATTTTTTTCCAACACCATAATTCAAATAAATTAGTTCCTCCTCGATCTTGTTGACTATCAGACTTTAACATACACATAAGGCACCTGAAAACACTATGGTTCGGGTCAGGTACATCTGAGAAGTCCTCAAAGTGACATCTCAGCTGTCTAAGATGTTTCTCCTTTTTTAAAACAGGCATCATTAGGTCTTATGCAGCTGATTTGGCCAAGAAAGCATATACTTTTATTTTTGTGACTTATAATTTATGGATTATGAATCCAAGCAGAACAAAATCCTTGAACATTTCAATAGTTATTCCATCTATCATTATGTTGCTTATCAGTTCAGTTGTGAGGATCTCTGTTTTCTTTTGTGGAAGTGTAATCCATACTGAAGGCTAGAGGCTTTAAGTCATTGATTTTCACAAGTACTTCAAGACCTCTTGACTTTCAGCAAGCAAGGCTGTGTCTTCTGTATATCACAGGTTATTAGTGAATTTTTCTCCATTCCTGACGTTGCATTCTTCTTCACAGTCTAGAGTCACCTATTATGTGTTCAGTACACAGACTGAGTAAGATTATTGAAAGGATGGATACACCATGGCCCTGATACACTCTAGAGAAGT